CATCGCGCTAGGTGGCGAAGGAGTATCGACTAGCGATGCGATGTCGTGGGGTCAACGGACCAGGGTCGTCAACGCCTATGGACCATCAGAAGCCACTGTTGGTGCGACTATCAACGACAACGTGGCCGCCAAACCATATATCACTATGGGAAAGCGGAAAGGATGTGCCATCTGGCTTACCGAGCCTGAAGACCACAACAAGCTCGTGCCTGTGGGTGCGGTCGGTGAGCTGCTCATCGAAGGCCCCATCGTTGGCGATGGGTATCTCAACAACCCGTCAAAGACGAAGGAAGTGTTCATCGAAGACCCAGAGTTCCTGCTCAAAGGTAGCAAGAGCTACCTGGGTCGACATGGCCGCATCTACAAGACCGGTGATCTAGTACGTTTCGACCCTGACGGCAACGGTGAACCCATCTTCGTCGGACGTCAAGATCAGCAAGTCAAGCTTCGAGGCCAGCGCATCGAGCTAGCTGAGATTGAGTTCAACATGCAGAAGCATCTTCCCGCAGACACTCAGCTCGCTGTTGAAGTCATCAAACCCAGTGGAGGTGGTGAGCAGACGCTGGTCGCTTTCCTCGTCGAGCAGAAGAAGAACGGCATGCGACATCTCGACGGAAACGTATTTGGAAGCTTCACCACCAAGTTTCAGTCAGCTCTCAAAGCCATGACCAAGCAACTCGCCATCGATCTTCCCGGCTATATGGTGCCAAGCGCCTACATCCCGCTCTGGAAGATGCCACTACTAGTGTCGTGCAAGACAGACCGGAAGCGACTTCGCGAGATCGGTACCTCCGTCACACGCCAAGATCTCAGGCGCTTCAACTCAGTCATCTCTGAGAAGCAAGAGCCTACCACCGAGACGGAGCTCAAGCTTCGTTCATTGTGGGCGAAGCTTCTCGGAGGAGAAGCGGACTTCAGTGCCAATGACAACTTCTTCAGTATGGGCGGAGACTCGCTCCGAGCAATGAGGCTGGTTCCTCTTGCCAGAGAAGCTGGGTTGTTGCTACACGTTCCGGATATCATGCTGAATCCTACGCTGTCGGCCATGGCAGCCAAGGCGACACCGTTGTCGGAAGAAGCAACGAACGACGTACCTGCTTTCTCTTTGGTTGGGAAGGATTGGGAAGCGAAGTCTGCACAAGCCGAAACTGCCAAGCTCTGTGGTGTCGAGGTTGACAAAGTCGAGGACGTTCTTCCTTGCACGCCGCTTCAAGAAGGTCTGATGGCTCTCTCGGCCAAGTTCCAGGATGCGTATGTCGCTCAGCGAGTTGCGACATTGCCATCAGCGACTGCTGAGCGTTTGAAGAAAGCCTTCGATGTCGCAGTTCAGGGCTCGCCCATCTTGCGCACAAGAATCGTTAACGTCTCTGGTCGCGGCTTGTTCCAGGTCGTCCTCAAAGACGGTAAGCTGCTGCGCGAGCATGGATCTGATCCAGCAGAGTATCTTCGACGCGACCGCGAAGAAGCCATGGATCTAGGAACTGCACTCTTCCGCTATGGTCTGGCTCAAGAAACTGGTAGCGACAAGACTCACTTCGTCATCACGATGCATCACGCTGTTTACGATGGATGGTCGATGCCTCTCGTGTTCGATCGCATCAACCGCGCTTTCAACGGCCTCACAACGGAGAGGCCTGTGTCGTTCAAGCACTTCATCAAGCACCTCACCAGCCTTGATCCGGCTGTAGCTCGAGACTACTGGAAAGAGCGATTGAACGGCGTCAACCCGCATCAATTCCCTCCTCTACCGCAGAAGGGATATGTCACTCAAGCCGACTCGTTGCTTGAGCACTACGTTACCGTTCCAACGTCAGCGCACAACAAGCTCACTCTGGCGACTATCATCCGTGGAGCCTGGGCACTGACATCATCTCTGTACATGGGCCATCCCGATGTTGTGTTCGGAGAGACATTGACAGGTCGTTCCGCGCCGGTACACGCGATTGTGGAAATCGAAGGCCCCATGATCACAACGGTTCCTATTCGCGTCCGATTGAACCTCGACCGACCAATCGCGGAGTACCTACAAGCCGTTCACGCGCAGACTGTGCAGCAGATCCCGCATGAGCACTTGGGATTGCAGAACATCCGCCGACTAAGCAAGGACGCTCGTGTAGCATGCGATCTGCGCACGGGTCTTGTTTTGCATCCCAGAGAAGACGACGACGGTGCTCCTGTCGATATGGAGACTGCGCCTGCCAACACGTTCCTTCCTGCTGATGACGCGGAAGCCGCACGCGAAGCGCTGAAGTTCAACACATACGCACTCATGCTCGTGTGCACATTGGACGAGAACGGCTTCTTGGTCATGGCCAGCTTCGATTCAAAGTGCATCAGCAAGGACGCTATGGAGAGGGTACTTGTCGTGTTCAACCGCATCATCACGGCGTTCTTGGGTAACCCCGAGAGCAAGCTGGGCGATGTGGCTGTTCTCGATCCTGCCGAAGCACGAGATGCGGAGGCGATGAGACCGCGAGATGTCATGAGCGACAGTGGTGTAGGCACCTCGCCAATCGACAGCCCGACTCAGGATGCCAAGTCAAAGGCGTCGTCGCCAAACGAGCAGAAGCTGTGCAGTATTCTCAGTCGCATCCTCGGTATGCCGGAGACGGAGATCAAGCCCAGCGACAGCTTCTTTGAACTGGGTGGTGACTCCATCGGCGCGATGCGCCTCGTATCTGATGCGCGCGCACAAGGCTTGAACCTGACGGTGGCTCAAGTCTTCCAGAGCCAGTCTTTATCCGAGTTGGCGGCTTCGACCGGCAATGAGAAGGAAGATAAGCTGTTGGATATTCTCAGCCGCATTCTTGGTATGCCCAAGAGCGATATCAACGGCAGCGACAGCTTCTTCGAGCTTGGAGGCGACTCCATCGGTGCCATGCGTCTCGTGTCTGACGCGCGCGCTCGAGGCCTCAACATCACCGTCGCGCAAGTCTTCCAAAGCCAATCTCTTTCCGAGCTTGCTTCGTCCGCGGAGGAAGCAAATGCATCGCAGACTAACGTGAACATCGATGCGCCTTTTGCCGCGCTCGGTAAGGAAGCGTCGCTATACAGTGCCGACCGCATCGGTGCATACCTGCAAGATCAGACATGGCAGATTGCGGATATATACCCTGCAAGACCGCTCCAACAACTCGCTGTCGAGGGTACTGTCGACCTGCCACGCTACTCATTGCGATACGAACTCATCAAGTTCGTCACACCAGTCGATCGTCAGAAGCTCGAGCAAGCTTGCCAAGAGCTCGTGGCACGCAACGAAGTCCTGCGCACTGTCTTCGTGAAAGACGAGAGCAAGGTACTTGGCGTGGTGCTATCATCTCTGCGGGTTCCCTACACCGAGATCGCAGTGTCAGACAACGAAGACATCAACACAGTCGCCCAAGCCTTCACGAAACAAGACATCCAAGCACCCAAGCCGCACGGCTCGTCATTCGTGTCCTTCACCCTCTTCACCAGCGCAAAGACCGGCGCCTCAACCCTCGTCTTCCGCATCTCCCACGCCCAATACGACGAAATCTGTCTTCCCATCCTGTACGAGCAGCTCTCCGCGCTATACGCAGGCACCGACGTACCAGAGACGATACCGTTCAGCAAGCACGTAAACCACGTGGTTCTAGATAACATGCCAAAAGCCATCCCTTACTGGCAGAACCTCCTCTCCGGCTCCCAGATGTCTGTCATGAAGCCCGACATTCCGCTCACACACCGCGGCCCTGCGGATGTATACATGGAGTTTGATATCTCTGCCCGCCCGGCAAACATCACTATCGGGTCGCTGCCAACGGCTGCATGGGCGCTCGTGCTATCGCAGCGTCTTGGTCTCAAAGACGTAGTCTTTGGCGAAGTCGTCTCGGGAAGAAACATTGGCGCTGCGAACGCTGATCGCATCTTTGGACCGACATGGCAGTACATTCCCTTCCGCGTACCATTCAAGTCCAGCTGGACGTACCTCGACCTGTTGAACTTTGTGCAGCACCAGCACATTACCTCCGCGGCCTATGAGTCCATGGGCTTCACGGAGATCGTGGAGAACTGCACGGATTGGGATGCCAAGAGGGTCAACTGGTTCGATACAGTTGTCCACCAGGCACCTGCTTGGGTCGAAGAACTGCCGTTTGGCAATGGTGTTGAGGCGAAATTCGAAACGCTGTATCCGCATGGTGAGCCGCTGAGGGAGTGGAAGTGCCAGGCCTTTGTCAAGGATGGAGGAAAGAAGTTGGGTATCGAGATTGTCACTTTTGAGGAGTGGAAGGACGTTGCGAGGGGAGTGTTGAAGGAGGTTGGTGAGGCGTTGGAGTGCTTGATGAAGGGTAAGGCGGGAGAGAAGATCTTCGATGGTGGGGATGCGGGTGGTGAGGAGGGCAAGCAGAGCTTGGAGGATTTTGAGGGTGTGATGTAAGTCGCATCTCGGTGTTTGGGTTGGCGTTAGTGTGATTGTAACCTTTTCCCATTTGGCTCTTTGAAACTTTGGTATCTCCCGCTGAGTTGTGATTGTGTACGTGACTTGGCTCGGTATCGCTCGTTCTTCCCTTGGTTTGCGTACCACGTCTCATCAGTTTCGCAATACCGTTGAGCATCATCCGCCGAGTACAATCACCCTGCACTTTCTTTTACCCAGGGTCAATACAGATTTATGTCGTGGCTCAAAGTTCCTTGACTAGGCACCATGCGGATATGAGTTCCTAGTGATGCGATGGTACTCGTCCGCGTAGCGTTACGCACGTGCTTGTCATCGAGTCCAAGTGTGACGAAGTTCATCTCGAATAGCGTCTTCGTGCTACAAGAGTCGGTTTTGATGTAGAGTAGACGGACATGAGAGACTGTGATAGTTACCGGACGTTGTTGACATTTGCCCTATGCCTCCTCTCGTTAGGTCAAACCGGCTGGTATCGTACATATACCACGGATGTGTCGTTTGAGAGTTCAATCGACACATCTACCAGTTGCTCTTCATTGATATACGCTGTTATCGTCCATCGATCGATATACAATCCGCTACCATGAAACTTATTCTGGCACTCGTCTCTCTTGCCGTCTTGGCGGCAGCCGCTCCTCCACAAGGACTGAGTGAAAGACAAGGCGCTCTCATCGGTCCCATTCCCGCTCAAGGCCAAGTCGAATGCGACAGCGAACCCGGTCGCACATATTGCTTCGACGAAGTCGTTTGGGGCAAAGGTACGTCATCCATCTCGATACCTCGCCCAATCCACCTTTTTGCAATTTCCTCTTCGTTCCTCAATATACTCGCTGAATAGCAAGGCTAATCTCCTACAGGCCAAGACTACCAGACACTCCTCCATAGTTACTGCCGACGGGAATACGCCCATGATGCTCTGAGCTGTCACGGATGCATGCGTCAGCCGTTCCCAACTGACCTTTGCGACGCTGGGCCAGGAGCTTGGAACTCGGCGTTTTATTGTACCGAAGATGGCTACAAATTTTCGCATCGATGCCAAGATTGGTGCAAGGATGGATTGTGTGAATGATTGACGACAGCATGGCGTATTGTGGTGGTTGAGCGCGCGAAAGGGCGGTGGTTGGGAAGAGAAAGCAAGGGGGCTCTGCTTGCCCAGATAGGTTAGCGCGGTTGGCGGTGGACAAAGGCAGGATGTGCGCTCTCTTATAGATCAATGCGGTACGCCGAAAGTTTTGTGATCTAATGGAAAAAATGCATGTCAGTGTCGGTCTGAATCTCCTTCGTCTTCAGACTTGAAAGTCGCTTTCGGGAAGGAACGCGTCCGGGTTGGCGCACGTGCTTTCGTGGTTAGCGTGACTGCCCAGCTTTCCATCATGCCCCGCGCGTCTGCCTTGCGACCTTGATCACACAACAACCCTCCACATATCACAGAACGCTATCGCATTGCTCTAGTGCGCGCATCCATCACGATGGATGCAGAAATACCACATCTTCCGGCGGAGATCCATCGCCTTATTGCAGCATACGTCCATCGTGAGGACTTACCACACTATCGGCTCGCAAGCAAAGAGTTGTGCGTGATAGGCACAGAAGAACTCTTCAATACGATTGTGTTTCACTACAGTACTGCGAGCGTTGATCGCCTGCAGAAGCTCAGTGCAAATGAACGACTTCGAAGATGTGTCAAGACCATCTTCTGGGACGACAATCTATGGCATATCTATCGCGTCGAGCTCATGCACGAATGGAAATGGTTCTGGGACTTCACAGCAGGTCTTTTCCTGCCCCGACATCGCCGTAGCGACTCACAAGAGCTAGACAAGCCGTTATATGCTCAACTTGCGGAGGACCGAAGAGAGTATGAGGCATATGGTGACAAAGTAAAGGACGAGAGAATCGCAAGACAAACGATGAGCCAGTTTGAGGCGCTTGGAAACTTCCAGAACTTACGTTCGATACACATGGTCAACGGTCAGCTTTCGCAGGCCCACCGAGGTGTGAGAAAAGTGGCACATGCGCTACCCCGCGCTTTGCCCGTACCTCCCGTGTTGCGCAGAGGAGAAGGTATCAACGCTTTCTATGCGCTACCAGGGGTTGAGGCTTTCCGGACTATACAGCAATATTGCAAACCCTCGCTGAGAAAACTCAAGTTAGACAGAGTACAACCTCAGGCTTTCACCTCATGGGAGCCAGGTGAACTACATTGCTTAACAAGTCTGGACATCACGATCTTTGGATTCTCCGGTGACTGGCGCTTCCAAAGTACTAAATGGACGTTGGAACTACTAATGGAAAACCTGGAGATGTTCATTGCGTGTCTACCAGAGCTCGAAAGTCTCAAAGTCGGCCTGGAGAACGGGTCAGTGGACACCACTGCACCACTCGCGAGCATCCGCCACGTTTTCGCTGCTGAAACTACATGGCCTAAATTACGGAAATTATCCTTGTCTGGTTTTTCTGCTACGCCTGAGACATTGGTGTCACTTCTGAGCAGACACAGCTCCACGTTGAAGGATCTCAGGCTACGCGACATTTCCTGGAAGGCAGGCCCAAACGACGCAGCAGAAGAAAAGCCCAAGGTGTCATTGAGGTCTATTCAGCATTGTGCATGGCCGCGAGTACTGCAAGAGATAGCGGAGTGCTTGTCGCTGAAACGTGCGACTGTGTCGGGAACGCTTGGTGAAAACGGAGATGTGCTTGGATGGCGACTGGACAAGAACGATGAGCTCGCCGCTGATGTTGAGGATTTCTTTGTCAGTGGAGGGCAGTGCCCGCTGACGGCTCACAACGCTCACTTTGCGATCGACAATTGCGAACTCCCCCCAATCTCAGTCGCATCATCGTAGCGATACATCAAGTACGGAAACGCGGATTCTGATGAGCTTTACTAAAGGGCCCCCCTGGAGATCTACACGCCAGTGTTCGTCGTGGTCGCGCATAGAACATCGCGTATATTCTTAGGGGGCTTTACAGTAAGAGGCACTACAAGACAACTAGCTTTTGGCGATGATCTTTACGTGAGATACAGTCAGAATCTGCAAAGATGAGGATATGGGGTCGGTGTCTTACACGCCGTCAGTACTGTTACCATATCGCCTGTTTCAGCCACTTTCATTACATGAAGGGGCCATGCGACCCAATCGTACCAGTCGCACATAGTCTCACAATCGAGAGGAACTTCTCATGGATACACATGTCATTCTAATAAAAATATTTACAGAAGCGCTAAGAACACGAAAAGGCGTAAACGGGCACTGCCACCCAAGCAACGCTAAACACAAAAGGCCAAACAAGTTCTAGTAGTTGTACTTGTAGCACAGCGTCGTTCCAGTGGTGTCGAGGACATCCCTGACCTTGACATCAGGACGGATACCGTAGACGTTGATGTTGGTGTCGAGGGTAAGGGCCCGCCCAGATGCGTCGTTTCCGTTGATGGTGTTGACACGAGCACCGTTGGCATTCTGCCAGATGCGGAAGTTGCGGTCGACGAAAGCGTGGTGGAGCCAGAAGATGGGGTCGGCGGGCGAACCGTACGTGTCTTGCATGACAGCGCCGATGCCGTTGTGGCCCCAGGCGTGGGGGCCTCCCTCTGCGCATTGGGCCATGCCGGCGAAGTCGCCGTAGGCGTTGCACTGGTTCACGTAGTCGGAGTTGCAGTATTGGGTCTTGGCGGCATCGCCGTTGCGGGCAAGGCAATGGGGGGTGTTGCCTGAACCGGGGCCAATGTTAATGGCAAGGTTGGCGAATGCCTGCAGAGTGTTAGTTGCTTGGTTATAGGAGGCGTGTCGGACAATGGGGTTGTACTTACGCCATTGGTTACACAGTTTCCGCCCAGGGCAATGCCTCCGAACCACTTGGCTGAGAAGATGGATGATGCCGAAAAGCGACCGGCGTACTTGGTCTCGTCGAACCAGGGCATGGTTTGGCTGAAGCCACATTCTGAGCGTAGAATGTCCTCGAAGACCCAGGTGTAGTATCGGTGCCAGAGGAGGAACTTGCTGTTTCCGTGGACATTGGGTGTGAGGGTCTGGTGGAGGGCGACGAGATCCTCATACCGGCTCTTGGCTGCGGGGAACTGGCCTGAGGGAGCGCGGCCCATCAAGCACTTGATGGCATCCACGAATTGTTGCTTGCTGCTGTCGGGGTAGGAGTCCCACTCAACGCGGACGCGGGGGTTGGCGCATGTTGCAGCGGCAGCGAGGGTAGAGACGCGGAAGTTTTGGTTTTGCGCAGCAGGCTCCTCAGGCTGTGTGGCATTGTGCTCCTCGAATATCCGCTTGGCATCCGCGAGAGGAACGGGCTGAACGAACTTTGGTGTCTCGGCGAAGATGTTGAGGGGTAGGGCCTTGATGAGCTTGGTCAGGGGAAGTTCCTGAGGAGATGGAAGCGCAGAAACGCTGGCTACAACAGCCAAAGTGGCGGACAAGATTGAGGTACGCATGATTAAGGTATAAGTATTAAAAAGGTACTAAGATCCCGATTGACAGTAGCAGGAAAGCGAAGGACAACAACCTAAAAGCGAATGCGGTTGCTTGGTGTGATTGTTGAGCGAGCTGTACAAAAAGATCCCGACATGCAGGACGGCCAGTCATCCTTATACCTGGGACCTGCATCTTCCGCCTTACCGCCCGACTATCCACAGCGCGCGCGCCTCGTACTGCAGATCATTCGCAGTGCGCTTGACGAGCCGTCTCACCAGCGACACCTGATGATCGGTCATGGAAATACGAAGCACGCATGTACCGTGGGCGTGAATTCGGCCTAGCCCTGCAACGTAGTATTGGAAAGTAAGTAAGCGTGCGCGAGCTACAGCAGAGGGAACAAATGATAAGTGGGAGGCTATACTGCTTTTGGGCCGTGGCTCATCAAACGCTGGCCGGGCGCCCAGGTCAGGCCAACCTCGGGGCTTGACAGTCTACACACGAGGATAATGCTGCTTGCCGTGGACTCCTGGGCCTGAGCCGACCCCGAGTTGCGCGGAAATTGTCAGCGCGCTGACGTGAACGAACTACTGTGGAGCTTGTCGCTTTTCCTTGGCCTGCCCACGCTGCGTTCACGCGGCGGACCTGCCGGCTGCCGGAATGCAGGGCCGCCTTGATTGGATGGCGCATCGTGTTTTTCTCTTCGCTTCCAGATGCCGTGCAGCCAAATATAGCTCTCAGGAACGCCCTCGGTATCTAGCAATGTCTAGTAATGCTCCGGTCAACATGGCGTCCGCCAGCGTGCCATACCGACTGTCATGCAGACTGTCACATCGCGCGCGGGTGAGTTGTCAATTGAATACGGCAGCGTCATCTCGACTGAAGGATTTGCTAGTATCGCCCTTCGCCCGTTCAGCTGAGATTAGAATGCCACAATCCATTGTGTGACGGCAAGATAGCAGCCGTTGCCGTTGCAAACAAAGTGGCTGTGATTTGAAAGGGGGATCTGCGGCCAGCATGCACTTCCTGTCGCTAAACACCCAACCCCCAGCGCCTCACATAAAGGCGCTCCACACACATGCGGGAATAACCTCGCACAAAGCATCCCGAACAATCCACTATCGCCTTATCACGCAAACTCCCCATCGCAATCTCCTCGCGCACAGGCTTATCGGCCGTCTATTTCGAGTGGCAAGCTCCACTTCGCATCGCGCACGCCTCCATGCCTCGTCGTACGAGGTCCAATTCCACAGTACGAAGACAGCGTGGTGATGATGTTGGAAAGTGCGAGAGGGCGAAGGAGGAATACGGTCTACCCCGCCAGCTACTCAGCGCTAGCCAGCGCCGACACGAGAAAAACAATAACACTACTGCTCGAGGGCTGAGCTTAGTACCTGCGAGGCGTGCGAAAAAAACCATCCCGTGTAAGATTCTTTTTAGCAATCGAAACGGCGAGCCCGGCGCGCCGCGATGCTTCTTTCACCGCCATACAACTCACC